TATAAGTTAGTGACAGTACTTGAATGAAATAAGTTTTTGTTTATAGAAAATAAGCAGAAGATAAATTATTCAATAATTAGTTTTATGTAAAATTGTTGCATTTATTAATCCTAAAAAGATTTCTAGTTTTGTTTGTTTTTCTTTTTATAGAGATGAATATTATTAATAATATTCTTCAGTAATTATCATGATTCGACATAAAATTTTATTAACTATTCTTTTTGGAACTATATTTCAAATATTTTTTTCAACAACAAATACACTTTCACTATATGAAGCAAAAATAAATGAATCAACATTAAATTATCAAAAAAATAAATGTGAATTAGCATCAATTGATCAATTTCCATCATTATTTTTTACAGATGAACAACGTCGTAACGGCGGTGTTCTACTTCATATTGTACTTATACTCTATTCATTTGCTGCTATTGAAATTGTTTGTGATGATTATTTTGCATCGGCTTTAGAAAAAATAAGTTATAATTTAAATTTAACTCCGGTATGAATTTAAATATAACATGTATGACATATCTATTTGATGTCTAATAGGATGTTGCCGGAGCTACTTTTATGGCATTAGCAACATCAGCTTCGGAATTTTTTACATCCATAGTTGGTGTTTTCTTCGTCAAATCGGATATTGCTCGTAAGTTAGAACCATGAAAACTGAATAAACATATTTCTAATGATCTATAATTATACAGAAAATGGGAAAACATTAACATTATCTATCTATTTTTGCTAAATATAGAATAAAGACAAAACAGGAAGGAAAAGCTGCTTATTTTGAAACGAATGAAAGAACTTATTTTAACAAAAGTTATTTCAAATTTAATATCTTTTTCCTTTTTCTTTTTTAAAGTGGGCACTATTCTCGGCTCAGCTGTTTTCAATGTTCTTTTTGTTATTGCTTTATGTGCACTTATTTCAACAACAGTATGTGAATTAGATTCATATCCAATTGTACGAGATGGTGGATTTTATTGTATTGCCGTTGTTGTTCTATTTATAATAATATATGATCAACGTGTTTATTGGTATGAAGCATTTGCACTTGTTATATTGTATTTAATTTATGTGGCTATATTAAAATTTAATGATCGTTTATCACGTTTAATACATGGAAATTCATCAAATCAAACACATCGAAAATCTAGTGGACGTCATTCTGAACAATTACAAACATTAAATGATAATGTTGAATTAGAACAAAATATAACAACACGTGCACGATCAGTTTCAGAATCTGTTGCAATGAATACAACATCAATTAGTAATCATTATAGAAAACGACGTTCAACATTTAAACCATGTCGAAAACGTCTTAAAGATACATTAGATAATCATCAAATAGTTGCTAATGCAACAGAAATATTTGATCCACTTAAATTACCAACAAAAAAATATAAAATAATTAAATGGATTCTTATGTATCCAGTTCGTTTACTTATGCATATAACAATACCAGATTGTCGAAAAGAAGTTTTTCATAATTATTATATGCTTACATTTGTCATGTCAACTATTTGGGTAAATAATATGTGTAAATAAATCTAGATATATAATTGTTCTTTATCAATGATATATATAGGTTGCTGGCCTTGCTTATTTTCTTGTATGGCTTGTTGTCATTGTTGGATCAACTTTAAATATTCGAGATAGTATTATGGGTTTAACAATATTAGCTGTTGGTTCATCAATTGAAGAAATTTTTTCAGCTATTGTTATGACACGACGTGGTCATCCAGAAATGGCTATTGCTGGTTCAATTGGTTCAAATGTATTTGATATTTTAATGGGTTTAGGTATACCATGGTTATTTCGTAATTTAATGAGATTTACTTATCAATCAACACCATATGAAACTGTACCATTTATGAGTGATCCAAATTTAGCTGTCTTATCATCAAGTTCATCAAATGATGGTAGTTTAACAACAATAAATACAAATATTCCTTATTATGTTGAAATTCATTCACGAGGATTAGTTTATTCAACAATTATTCTTTTTATTGCAATTGTTACATTTTTAATAACATTCTTTATAAATCGATGTCGTTTAACAAAATTCTATGGAATTTTTCTTATTATTAGTTGGTTGTCTGTCATAACATTAATGTGTCTATTTGAATTGAATATATTTGGTCGCTTCCATGCTGAACCATGTCAAAAATGACATAGTCGTTATTTTTCGTTTTTTTGAAATAATATTTTATGTCTGTTTGTATATGTATTGATGTGAAAGAAAAAAAACAAAACACAAATATTTTATCTATTTGTCTCTTAATAAATAAAAGAAAAACATGTTATTTATAGAAATCCTACATCGTATAATTAAATTAAGAACGTGAATAATGTGAAGATGGTGCGAAAAAAATATTTTTTCATTCTCTTTCCGATAAAAAAAGAATACTATGATGAGATTCTAAAAAATATATAACAAATGATACTAAACTAATGGATAGTCACTAGAATGATGATAAACCGGAAAAAAAAGAGCTTTTTAATGTTTCTACTATATCGACAAACGAATTAAAGAAAACAAATTGCATTTACAGATACGTGAAAAAAAAGATAAATGAATGAATCTCTAAAAGCCTTTAAGCTTTATATCTTTTCTTTCTTTGATTTCACTCATTCTCTATATTATATCTTCACATAATAAGCATCATCAATATTTTTACATTCATTTTTTTTTTGTTTTCGTAAATAATAATAGATATCAGTATGTTCAATATTGAAGAATTTTGAGGTATATATGGCTAATTCATAAGATGAAAAAAGAAAACTGAAAAGTTTTTATAGTTTTTTTTATAAAAATAAGTCATAATATACAGAAAATGGCAGAAGATTACTTCTACTTTTGTGCATTCAGATGAACTGAATTAGATGAAAAGAACAAAAAAAAATGAATTAATGATAATTAATACAATATAATCAAGAATGATTATAAATACTTCTTAAAATTCCTTAAAAATTATTCACATTCTATTTCATTTAATCTTTAAGAAGTAAAGAAAAAGATTTTCTCGTTCATGTTGAATTAATCTTCTTTAGTTTTAAATCTAGTGTATAATTGATTATAATATGTTGACAATATGAAATAAAACATCTTTTAATTCTATTGATTAATATTATAAAGAAATTAGCATGCTTTATAATCTTATTATTTCGAATAAAGCGATGATGCATATTTAATTATGTAGATTTTGATAAAACAAAAAAATACTAATAGTCTAACAGTTGAATTATTTACTTATTATTAAATCTTAACAATTTGCTTCATTTCCTTTGTGTTTTATTTTTAAGCAATGTAGGATAGAAATTTCATCATGCAAAAGTTGATCCTTTATATCACACATACAAGAGTAGACACTTCCATCTATAATAGGAAATTAAAAGCTAATATGCTTTTTTTTTTTACTCGTTCTCATTTTACAAATATTCCATATCTTAAAAAAAAAAGACCTTATACGACAATCTAGGCGTTTCTAATAAAAACAACTCATATTAAAAAGTCTTATAAATTGAAAGTGCAAAGGACGGAAGTGCACAAGAATGCATTTCAACTTCATTAGATTTTCTCAAGGTTCAATCTAATTAATCATTTTGATTCAATCATAGCTGTGAACATACCTGATCTTCATGACCTACTAAATGTGCAGTTAGTAATGTGAATATTTATTTGACAGTAAACAAAGATGAAGAATGATTTGAACTTATTCTGCTAGTTGTTTGTTCATACGAGAAAAATTCATTTAAAATAATGCTTTTTCTATGCATTATATTTGTCATTTAATTATTGTGTTAATGAAATTTTCTTCACACTTAGTTCACTATGTGATCGATAGAACTTTTTAAATACTACAAAACAAACTAGTTTGTACAGTTTAAGAAAAAGTAGATTATATAACAAAACTGATATTTGACGATTTTTGAAGAAGAATAATACTCGTTTCACTTCAAACAAATATTATATTTCAAATCAGCCTAAAAAAATTGAGTCGACGTATGTATATTTCAAATTTTTTTTATGACTTTTGTTTCTGATCAAATTTTCACCTTTTGATCTTCTCAGGAATGTGTGAAAAAATAAATTTAATTAAAAACTCATTGTTACAATGAAAAACAAAAGTTCTACACTTGTAAAATATTTTTTTTAAGGCTAAAAAAGGTGAGTAACTAAACAATAAAACTATTATTTTGATTAAATTTATTTTTACATACATTCCTGAAGAGAAGTTCAGAGGTGAAAATTTGATGAGGAAAAAGAAAGTTGCAGAAAAAATTTGAAATATACATAAGTCGACTCATTTTTTTTTGTGTTGATTCTAAATATGATACTTGTTTGAAGTGAAACGAGTATTATTTTACTTGAAAGTCATCAAATATCAATTTTGTTATGTGCCCTACCCTTTTAAACCGTAAAAAAACTAGTACGTTTTGTAACGTTTGAAAAACTCTATCAAATATGAAATCAACTAAATGTAGAAGAAAGTTTCATTAACACAATAATTAAATGACGAATGAAATATACATAAGTATTTCAGTCTCAAAATTTTGAGCAACCGAAGATTTGCATACAGTCTCATAGATTCAAAACGTTATTTTCAATTAATCTTCACCATTATTTTCTGTCAAATGAATGCATACATTGCTGACTTGTATCAATAAGTAACTGGCCATTGCTCTTTCATTTTATATATAATTCAATTAAATTTTAAGTTTGAAAATCAAAAATAGCTGAAATGCATTTTTATACATCCGCATCATTTATCATACATCAATGTCAATATAATTCAAGACTTGTTTTTATTTTCTTGACTATAGATTAATAAGATTCATATTTTCGTCATTGTATAAATCGTGTTAAAAAAAAAGGAAAACAAACAAACATTGTAGTATTTCATTGACATAACACAGAAAAAAAAAAGAAATTTTGAAAACGATCACCCACACGCTTTTTTATTATTGATTTAAATATAATCATAATTAAGTCATATAATACGTGAGATCTGTTTATATGATGATGATGTACGTTGATAAGAATCTGAAAATATGAATTTGTTTTTTACAAAATATCGTATTGTATTAAATAAATGACAAGGATTTGCTCGCATTAAATATATCCATACATTAGAGAAGAAATCCGATATAGTAAAAGGTGGATAACCACCTAAATAAATATAAATAGAAAAATAAATGATAATTTCTTGAACTTATTTTCAAATGTATATAATGCAAAATTCGAGTGAATGTTTGATTGAAAATGTTGAATTGGCAAAATATGAACTCGCTATTTTTTTTAAATAGAAATTGTAAAATTTCAATTATATTGTTTTCTTGGATTTTATGAAAATATTTTATTCTAATTTAGTATTAAAACCTGAGTAGAAAAATCTTATTTGATTAGACTTAGAGATGATTAAGAAAAACTTCTCTACAATAGATATCGCTAACATATCTGATGACACGTATTTAGTGAACTACAAAAGTGCTTATTTGTCTTTTTTAGATTCTGTTTTATTGTCTACTTTTATGAAACATGATCTATAAGGAATATTGGAGTATAGAGGATAGAAATCTGGCAGGCGTCTTAACAACTAGTCATAACAGACTAAATATTATGACGGAGATCGATAGCGAACAAGTATCGCAAGGGAAAGTTGATCGATTTATTGAACATTTTTGTGATCTGAATCACACTTTTGATACTCTCAGTGGAATTTTTCAATGCAGATTATATCGTCACTGCAAAGATACGGGATACTTTTTCCGGCTTTTTGTATTCAGTGATTAGTGCATCCTATGCATTTCTTAGACGACTAAAGTTCATCAGGTCCCAAATTTTCGGACTCGGAACTAACTCGATGGGCTCTACAATGTGGAACATTAGTTTATTCCAGAGCTAAATAAACAAAAATGACAGACATCTTAGTAATGACAAATCACAGATGTGGCAGACATTGTTGACATACAAACACAGATTGTATATCAATAATGTCTCGTTTCATATGTATATGTGTATTACTTTCTTGTTGCATTTCGGAGAAATCAGTAAAAGTATGGTGACCGAATGTATCTCAAAATAGATAAAATAAAACAATTTCCTTGTGATAAATAAGAGCAGCTGAATAGTTTTTTACATTTCAATCTCATAGGAATTGCGCTAACAATTTTGTTATTTGATTTTGTCACCGAATAAGAAAAGAATTCAATTTTCTTAACAATTGAACAAAGAACAAATGTGCATTTCTTTTATAGTTCATAATCTGGAACTTCTAATAAGATAAAAAATACTTACTTATATTTTTTCTTACAAAAAACTAAATAGATTTACAATAATATTCACAAATATGTGCTATCAGATATATTGAAAGTATATATTTTAGAGAGGATTTTTTTAATTCTATTAATTCTACATTTTCATTCAAATAGTGTGATTGAATCAAAATAAAAACTAAATATATTCGTGACCAGTTCATTAAGTTCTTCTATGTAAATGAATGAGAAGAAAAAATAAACATCTACTCGAATTTTGTATTATATAAATCTTACCATTAATATAACGAGCAAAACAATATGCATCTAAATATTCATTTTTAATAAAATAATAATATGGTAAATGTAAACAATATCGAAATGATTTT